ATTGTCGTTAACGGTGTTATGTTGTGCATAATTTGAACTATATATACAGAATTGGTGATATGTGGATAATCTAATGGATCTGAATATTAAACGTATACCATGACAAGGGAAGTCATTACTTGATCGAGAACGATATAGGAGATTAATTGAAAAATTGAATTATCTCACAATTACACAACTAGGTATCTCTTTTGAAGTTAGCCTATTGAGTCAGTTTATTGAGAACTCTTGTGATACTCATTGGGATGCTAATGTTCGGGTTCTAAGGTATATCAAGAGAGCACCAGGGCAAGGTTTATTATATGAAGATTGAGGATATGGTCACGTTGTTGGGTATTATGATGTAGATTGGGCCGGTTGTTCATTTGACATGCGCTCTACTTCAGGTTATTGTGTACTCATTCGTGGTAATCTTATATCTTGGAAAAGTAAGAAGCAGTATTGCCAGGTCCAGTGCTAAAGTTAAATACCGGGTCATGGCCTTTGTTACGTGTGAGCTCATGTGACTAAACACTTACTACAAGAGTTGCAATGTGGTAATGTTGCTCAAATGACATTGATATGTGGCAACCAAGCAGCTCTACACATCGCCTCAAATTCATTTTATCATGAGAATACCAAACACACCGAGGTTGATTGTCACTTCATCAAGGAGGGTGTATTAAAACCAGATCAGTTAGCCGATATCCTTACAAAATAATCTCTCAGAACTCTTAAGAGTTTGGTATATTCCTAACAACCTTGGAGCATATGATTTATACCAGTCGTTATATTATAGACCGCGGTGCATGTGCACCGCGGTAAAAAACGACGCCGTTTCTTTAAGTAAAGAAATGGCCCGCCGTTAGAGTTAACGGAGTCCGTTTGTTTGGTATATTAAACACCAACTGACACTACAGTATATCCAAACCGACACTGCAGTTATATCAAAATGATACTGTAGTTATAGTGAAATGAAACTGCAGTGTATATAAACTGAAACTGAATAACATTTCACATATTTGAGTGTATATTGTACAATGAAGCTGTAATTATATCAAAATGATCATGTAGTTGTGTTTTAATGAAACTATAGTGTATATAAAATAAAATTAAATAACATTTTCACATATTTGAGTCTATAAATATCGAATGAAACTATAGTTATATCGAAATGAAACTGTAGTTGTGTTCAACTGAAACTGCAGTGTATACAAAATGACACTGAATAACAGAGTTACTTTTTGCAAAAGGGTGCGAAACGACGAAAATAAACACTGTTAATTTTCATTTAAAAAAAAAAGACGCGCGGTGCATAATCGATTATGCACCGCGGTGCATAATATAATTTGCCGATTTATACTCTCCAGCTTGAGAGAGAGTGTTGAAACCCTAGCCCTTTTAGGAATGAGCCCATTAGGTTAATAGTTTATTCATGTATAAATAGTAAATATTTGTATAATCATTTACGTATACAATGAATTCCTTTATTCTTCATAGATTCATAATCAGATCTTATTTATTTATTTATTTCAAACAATTTGAGATAAGTTTATATCCAATCGTTATATTATGGACTCTAGTCTAATACACATAATTCATGTTCATAATACACATACACGTAAACACTATATAATGAACATGAATTATGTGTATTATATAGATATTCACTATATCGTGTTTATGTGTATGTGTATTATAAACATAAATTTTGTACATTATGAAGTCAAATTTTATGTATTGGACCAAGATCCACTGTGCATGATATAATTTGTCGTTTATATCGCCCTAGGCTTTGAATTGGTCTTCCATGATCTTCGGTCGATACCCCGCCTTAAACCCAATGCAACTGAATATCTTATCTTGCCGATTAAAAAGAATATATTGACAATTGCCAAAGACCTTGTGGTCAAGTGGCATGAAGTGACTCTCCCAAGTGGGAGGTCACGGGTTCGAACTGAGGTGATATTGATATATTATTATTATTATATGTAACAGGGTCAATACTACTCAAAAAAAAAAAAAAAAAAAAAAAAAATTGACAACCCATGGGCATTGATGAATGAATATGCCTTATCTTATATTTTGAGAAAATAAATAAATAAATTTTTGTAGTTTTTTTAAAAATAATTTGTAATTGATAATATGTCATTTTAAAATAGCTACTATATATGACTTTTAGTTTTATTCATTATATATAGCAACAAAAAAAAAAACTATAAATATGCTTTACATATTTTGATCTTTAAAAGAAAACAATGTTATTTCATTTGAGAACATTAAAAAAAAAAAAAAAAAAAAAAAAACAATTGAGATGATTTTTCAATGTAAATAATGCAAGAAGAAATAATAGTTTTTAATGAAAGAGGAAATGTTATTTTTGTGAAATAACATAATTATTCATTAAAAAAATAATTAAAGTTATAATTTTTTTTTATATACATATAAAAGCTTTAATGTTAAAGATCATGTGGTTAAGCGTCATGATTTTGACATTCCTATATGAGAGGTCATAAGTTTGAATCTCAATGGAGGCATTGACTCTAGTTTTGTGCTTCAATCCCAAATATATACTTCTTCTTTTTTTATAATTTAAAATAAGCCATTAAAAGAAGCACTTGGATTGTTTATCACCATGGCTTCGAGTACATGGATTCCTCATACAAATTTATTTTTAATATGATGTATGTCCATTTACAGTGTAATATATGTTTATTTTAACTTGCAATGCACAAAAATTAACATGCGTCAAAATATAATAAGCTTTTTAAAAATAAACTTGTAATATACAAAAAATAAACATCCCTCAAGGTTCATATTATAAGATGAATCTCAAGGTGCACAATATAATTTGTCTGCAAGCTTTGAAGGCCTGCCATGTGCCTTACCTCTCATTTTGAGATGAAAATTTCGCCGAAACTGAAGAGTCAAGTTGATCAAATTGTTGTGGAATTCTTCTTTTTTTGTCTTTGCATTCCTTCTCTGCCGACACTTTTGATGCCTGGTTTGCTCATATTATGGACGTGTGTCATGAGGATGATTTGGGGTTGATAGTGGCTGTTTTGTACCAGGTTTGGAGAGCTCGAAATTCTGCTGTTTGGAGGAGATATGTGCCGCTGCCGAAATGCACCATTGGAGCTATTGTCACGCTTCATGCATGGCGACATGTGCATGCTCCCATTGCAGCGTCACCACAAGCTATCACACCCTTACAGCTGCTACAAGCCTACAACAGATGCAAGGCCAAAATGTTTCATTAACGCCTCTTACCATCAGTCGACTAGGAAGGCAGTGTTCGGAGCAGTCTTGCTCTCGACTTCATCAAGCTTCTTGGCAGCTTGTTGCGGCCCGTTGGCGTCGTGTACCTCACCTCTCATTGCAGAGGCTATGTCATAGCTCAAGGACCGTGGCCTTCCAGCGATAGACCTTTACACTGATTGTTCGGAGCTTCAGAGCTTGCTATCTTCACGGACATCGGTCTTATCATATGTTGGTTTAGTTATGATTGCAGAACTACTATGTCTCTTTTGTTGATCGCTTTATTCACTTCGTTCCTAGATCAAATAGCATTAAAGCTCACACTTTAGCTAGCTCAGCCATTACTCAAGCTCTTATTTTGTACTGGGACACCGTCCCACCAGACTCTATTTCTGATATGTTTTAATACAAGCTCAACTTTACTTTCCAAAAAAAAAAAAAAAGTTGATCAATTGTTGACTTGATAACCACAAGATTACAAATTCTTCCAATAGGAGCAACGTATTGGCCTTCTTTATTTGATTCGATTAGCTATAAACAACCTAAGTTTGCCAACTTAGATTACAAGGTACTATAATTAATTTAATACACACATGCAAATAGTGACCCGCAGAAAACCCGATGAATATCAAATTCCTTAACGGAGGATGGGCGGAGCATAAAAATAACCCTAAACCAAACAAGATTATATTACATACATCAATTTTAACAAAATACGGGAATTTAATATTCTCAACAGTCTAACATTCTCTAAGTAATTTAACATTCCGTGAACCAACCAACTCCTAAATGTTAAATATGAATAATTACTGGCAACGCAAGAACCTGTCACCACTTTAATCAACATCAATGACAACGTCAATCCATTACCATAATAAGGTCTTGTCCATGAATCTTTGCATTGCCATCTAAAGACAAAGATCCATCCATGCCCGCACAAGCATTGCTGGCATATCAATCAATTCAAAGTAAAACTTCAACCCGTCTAAGCTTATCTACACCAAAACTCATAACCAGAAATAGGTATAATTGAAACCTACGGGATGAAAATAGATAGATTTTGAATCACAAAAATAAAACTAATTTGGAAAGTGCATTTGAATAGGTCAGAAATATATATCGCAAATACGCATATCGCATGTCAAACGCATTTGAGAAATGTGAATATGTGATACAAACACGCATTTGAGAAATGTGAATGTGATACAAACACGCATTTGAGAAACACGATACAGACGCATTTGAGGAACGCAATACAGGCTCACATTTAAAAAACGCAATACACACACGCCTTTAAGAAACACAATATAGGCTTGCATTTCAAAAACGCAATACAGACACCTTTGTGAGACGAACTCACATTTAGGGGTGGGCAATTCAGTTCGGTTTATCCGAACGATACCAAACTAAAAATATACAGAAAAACTGAACTAGTAATATAATGTTTAGATTTTAGATATGGATTATGTGAATATATATTATTTGGTAGTATGTTCGGAAAATTAAGAAATTTGAGGATATTAAACCGAACCAAACAGCAAACAGAATTAAATCCAAACTGAACACTAATGTTAAACCAAATGGTTTAATTTTTTTAAAACCGAAAAACCCCTACTCGCATTTGCCAAACTAGTTTTGCCAATTCCAAGATTCAAAATCTGTCAATTTCTTCTCCCAAATACTGCTTACTAAACCACTAAGCTAAACCAGTACACAGACTTTTGAGCAACAGAATACTCATGAGATTACATATACACTAAAAATAATTAGTGAATATGCGGCAAAATTTATTACAGGTAAAATTTAAAGAATGGAAATAAGAAACAAGCCACAAAGTTAAATTGAACTCCAAGGGGAGGGCATCAAAATTTTTAAGACATCAAAATGCAGAGAAATTGAAACAACCCACCCACCCCATCCCCTCCAACCAACACTTTCCCCCAAAAAGAAAGAAGCTGCACCACCTGACTAGTGCATATTTTCGACTCAAAAATACAATTCCTCAAGTTAAACGCACAAGATGCAAACTTTTGCACCGCTTATTGGGGCTGCATCTCTAATACCAGGGTGCAGGATGAATGGAAAGTATACTAAGTTTCATGTGTGGTGATACCAATCAATTGTAGCTACTGCTAGAATATTCTGAAGTAAGTTTCAGGATGTGACCTTGGGTTTAGACTTCTGCTTCTTGGCATTGAGTGATGCCAAACCGCTGCCTAATCCGACTGGTGCCTCATCTGGTTGCTCGGGTTTGGAGTTGTCCCCTTGGGCATCGGCAGGTGTATCTGTGGAGTCCCCGTTTGCTTCTTTATTTGCTCCATCAGTTTCAACCCTATTTACAGGGTCAGGTGTTACCCCGGGGTTTAATACGTTTAGTATCTGAGAAAGTGGGGGCAAACCCTGCACGGCACCAGCATTAGGCCGTAATAGAAGACCCTTCGCAGCAGCTTTCTTCCGTACTTCTGCAGCTGCACGGGCAGCTCTTTCATCGACTCCTCTTCCTCGGGGTAAGGCTTCACCAAGCATGGCAGCATTTAGAGATTGATTCACACCAGCTAACCCAGCACCACCAGTGGCAGCTTGAAAAGCTTGTAATATACTAGGATTGGCCTGTAAATCAATTCAGAAGTTTGGAGCTAAAAATTCAGAATGAACAAAATGAAAGAATCATACTAGATAGTCCAATATTATACCGAGGACTAAACCAACATAGGGAAAACTCAAGCGTGAAACATTTTCATAAAAATGAAACATACCTTCAAAATGTCATAAGCCTTGTGAGCTGAAGTCTCATTTAAAGCTTGACCCCTCTGCTTTTGAGCATTCAACTGTGAAAAATGCATTTTAACACCATGGATGAACAAATGTTTGAAGACAACAGACCCACAAATTCTAAATGAAGGTATTTTATAAGTGAATGGTAGCAATACCTGTAACTCACGCATCTTAAATGTGTTCAACCAATTCAGAGAATCCTTTGTCCTTGGATCGTCCTCTCCAAGTTGTTTCACTAAAATATCATATGTCTTCTGCTCATGCTGTTGATAAAATGGATTTTTTTGTTTTCCAAGATTCGTTATAATCCACAAGTATTTCTGAAATACGGGGAAAAATTAAAACACTCAAAAATATACCTGGCGGGACACCTTATAACCACTTATACAATTAAAGGCGATTGCCAGTGCGTGATAGCAGACAGCAGTTTGAATATGATCTTCTCCTAGGAGTCTCTCATTCTTTTTCAAGGCTTCTTGCAGGTATCGAAGAGCAGTATCCATCTTTCCAATATCTTGGTACATCATCGCAACATTTATAAAAGTTGCAGCAACATCAGGATGATCGGGACCAGAAGACAACCCAAGTAGAAGTAAAGCCCTTGACATGTGCCGCAATGCAAGTTCCGTTTGGCTGAGCCCATGGTAGAAAAGAGCCATATTTCCATAGCTGTAGTCAAGAACAGTAACATAATGATCAGTCAAGGTATATAAATGCTGTGGCCTTCAAAGGAAGCATCTTAATGGACAACACATTGTGTCCCAACAGGTAACATGAATCAAATAGAAGTTCAGAGGAAAAGAGCTCCTGCCTATGAGCAGTGTCCGGGTGATCCAGTCCAAGGCAGCGTTCATTAATGATAAGTTCCTTGTGCTGTTGCGCTATTGCACCTGCCATATCACCGGCGTGGTACAGAACCATAGCTAGATATCTGTAATTCAAAATTGTTGGGGGTAAGATAAAGAAAAAATTTGTAAAGACACAAACTAACTGAGGTAAATAAAAAAAAATATTTGTAATGCTAGAGAAATGAGTTGGTAAATCAAATAACAATTACCGACAACAGTTGGCAACTTCCCTATGCATTGGACCAGTAACCTGCACATTGTGTAGAAACCAGGCTAACTTGTGCTAATCGATAATGAATTTAATCACAATAGTCAATCAGTTAACAACTATACCTGCTGAAGTATTGTGAATGCTTCAGAAAACAATAAATAGGCCTCATTAAGCAAACCCTGAAAATAAATAACAAAGATCCTAAGAATATAATATTATTAATCTTCACTCATTCCTACAAGTCACATGCATTTCATTTCCTTTCCAAACATGGAAGTCACACTACATAATGTTGCCTAGAACTGTTTATACCTCAGCTAATTGAGCCTTTCCTGTTTCCACCAGATCCTTTGCTTCTGAACTGATTGGGATAGAATGCTTCACCACCGGTTGAAGATTCAAAATATCAGTTGCTTGAAAAGGTGTGACAGCATCAAGATCATATTTTCGAGCTGCAACGGTTACTCCAACCTGTCAAAGAATACCATAGTCATTAGAAGCATAAGCAGTATAAAATATTAACCACGGTTGTCTTATCCATTGATAGAAGTGCAACATTGAATAGCAATAAGAAACAAAATTCAGATGAAATCATGAGGTACCTTCAGGCAAAGATTGCGTAAAACTGGAATTTTCTTTACCCGTAATCTTGCATCGTCAGGCAATTCAAACTGAAAAATTATCAATTAGAATCTGGTTACAAATGAGAGTAATAGACAAGAACCTGTGGAAATTTTTAATTACTTGATACCTGATACTTTTGTTTTGAAAATTCTTTGATGTCAGACCACAAACTATCAGATGTGACATTCATATATGAAGATTGCTTCTTTACTGCAGACACTGCACTTTTCTTCTTTGCCTGTCCCTTGGAAAACTTCCCTGAAGAATGATGATCCTGGAGAATATGTTTAGTCTTAGTACAGCTTAAAGCAAAACACTACACCAGAGATTTGATAACCCGATTAAGATAAAACTCACAAAGGTTTCCAGCATTTCCATACTTGCACATACCAGAAAAGGGATATTATTAAAGCATAATAGAATGTATACCCCCCTATCAGACAAACAGCCCAAGATAATATTGTATCACATTGTCTTAGATAACACAAATGACAAATGACCTGAGTATCGCATTGTTTACCTTCTTTTGATTTCTAGAATGCACAGAATTTGTGCCAACTTTGTTAGATGTAGTTTGGATGTTTCCAAAGAAACAGTTAAAAAAATGTGAGATGGCATTTGCAAGGTCATGGTCTTCTGAATCTCTCATGACATCCTGCAAGTCCAACAGATCTGTTAATAACTGATATTGAACCAACAGAACAAAAGAAATAAGAACAAATGATGATATACAAACAGCAAGGAAGAAAAAAAAAAGATCATTCCATAGTTCTACTATTAGTATATTTTATTAGAAACGCTAAACAAATAATTCGAATAACACAGTTCTCCAGGGTTCAAAATGAAAATAAGTTGCAATGTAACCTTACAGCAGGCTAACAAAATAGAGATTTAAACGAGAAATCAAAAAAACGTGAAAATGGCAATGATATGTCAAAACACTAGCAGATGCAGATCACCTTGAAAATGTGTTTAGCTGACCTAACAACAACTTCATTAGAACAAAGATCCCACAAATGAGGGAAATGCCTAGTTCCCTCAGCAACCTGGAGGAGATTAAAACATCTTGAATAAATTAGTGGTAGTGAATTAGTGATATAGTTGTATCAGTAATAACAATAATAATAATAATAATAATCAATTACAGGGGCTTCATACTTAACAAAAAAAACACATGAGATTATTATTAATCAGAAAATTGTCAAAAAAAAAAAAAAATCATAAAGAGCTTCTTACTTTTCCAAGATAACGTAAATTAATCCCATGGGCATGAAGTGCTTCAGTTAAAGTCTGCCCATCCATGGGTGAGACTTCAAGTGCGCAGAGGTCATGTACAAACTTTGGAAGCACAACATCTTTAAGATACAAACTAACTTTCTTCACAAGTTCTTCATCAGCAGCTATGTCCTGGTCAAGTTAGTGTAGGGCACAATGAATTAGGAATCACACAATTATTATCTGACTGAAGGACATAAAAATATGCAAAATCCATGCCTCTTTATTCCCAGCCAACTTGAAGTCGGTGAAAGCATTAGGATTAAAAAGTATCTCCTCAGGGATATCATCTTTGCTCCCTGACTGAGAACAGCATTCTTTAGCATCATTACTTTCGCTTAATTTTTCCTGTACAGAATCAGATCCAAATACAACATTAGCACAAGCAAAAGCCACACAAAAGTAAGGCATATGTCGTTGCAAAGCAGAACAACTAAAAAACTTGGCGTACAATGCTTCCTATGTTTGTAGCATGGTAAAAAACAACAAATTGATACATCACCATTTTATATTTAAAAAAGAAGCTAAATCCAGAATAGCATCACTGACTGAGCACAAGAAGCAGCACCAAGTTAAGCTAAAAGGGATCCCAAATGCAGAAAACTTTTCAAACTGTTTTCCCAACTTTCAAATCAAAGACAATATTATTATCTGATAACTATGACAAGTGCACAAAGTACGTGCAGGCATATCCCAAGATGTAATCCATACAGAGATATATCACAAATTTAGACATACACACAAACAGCTCAAAACACATTAAAGAATGATGCTCTGCTTATAGTAAACACAGTGTAATATATACAGCAGCACCAAGTCCAAAATCCTTGCTTAAATACTTTAGAAGGAAAAAAATTACCTCTTTGTCAACCTGGCTCGGGACATTATCCTCAGTTCTAGGAATTTCATCAGCATTATTTGCATCTGAAGAATCACTAGTCTCTTGAACCTCTCCCTCAGCCTTGCACTTTGATTTTGACCTATCTGTAGCTTCAACCTGTTTAAGTAAAAAAATAACAAATAAATACATACATCAAGAAATAAATAAATAAATAAGAGAATAAGAATGAAAAAATCAAAAATAATTAAAAGGAACAATTGCTGAAAAATGGACTACTAACTTGGCAAAATGCAGTTATCAACTCAGGCCTCAAAATACAAAATCTGGAACCTGGACCGCTATAATTGGCATCACGAGGTGTGACTCTCATCAGGTCCAATATATAATGCCTGGTTGCCAGTGTTAGAAAAGTTAATGTCTAAACTCAAAAAGTTATTGTTGCCCAAACAAACTATCTCATACCTGTCATCACTGCCAACAATACCCTTGCACTCCACTGGTGCAGCCAACTCAAAAATATTTCCAGATCCATCATAGACAGCATGTAACTTCAAGTGGAGACGCTTTGCAGCTTCAACTACCTATTGATAGCCAAAGGATTAAAAATATTGATTGAACCAAGAAACAGGTAGTCTGTATAGTAGAGAAGAATATCTCAATATTTAAGACATTATTGCAATATCTCAAAATTTAAAGATATTATCGCAATAAAGCTGAGAAAAATAATTTTTTGACTTGACAATATAGATCCAAAACCAGACAGAAGAAGCTGGAAGCCTTGGAAAGTTGGAATCAAGAAATTCATTTTGTAAACCATCTTGCTTATCAAATTACAAAACCAGAATAACATAATATAAGTAGCTAAGCAAACTCACTTCAGCATTCATTTTTTTACATAGGAAGATTGCATGCACGATAACAGTGAAATCCGCTGGACATACACAGTGTCAATCATCTTCTTTCATAAACCATGTTAAATTACAGGAAATAGAATTGATTGTATTATAGGTTTCTTTCATACAGTACAATAAAAGAAACACTTTTCACAATGGATGGGCATTGCTGCTTCTTAGTAAATAGAAAATGTCACAACCAAAAAAGAATTGAAATCACACCAAAGAAAACCAACCTTGGAGTGAAATTTTTCATTCCAGCATATTTTCTTCCCATTATCAACAGAACCATACAGAAGGGAGTCTGATTTATCACCTTGAAGGATGCCAGGTAAAACACTCTGTAAGCAAGTAACAGAATAATAATGATTATAATGACACAAAGTACCAACTGCGATACATACAATGGAAGAAACACACAAGTGACAAGTGTAATCAACAATCTAAAATTCAAATAAGTGTCTAGTGTTGTTCCTGAAGATTTTGAGCTCATTATGTAAATACACTTAATGAGAATAGAAAATACAAAGATTTAGTGTGTAACAAAGATGATGCAAAACCAATCTTCTCTAGCAACTGAAAATTTGCAACATGGGAGGCTGAAATGTGACATTTAATTAGAAATTCATTGCTTTTATCTTTTCAGGTTGGCAGTGGGAAAGGTTCATAGTTAGGTAATCTAGTCTTACAAATTGACCTTACAAACTCCAAGTCCAAAGACTTGATTATCAATGAGGCACTAATATTCATCAGCATATTGCACTTAAAGAGAATAGACCACAAGTTTATTAGACACCTGTGCAACGACCCTGTGACCTCTGTAATCAATTATGGCCATTGCAAGATTGTATAGCCCAGGGACATCAGCTTCTTGATATGCCTTTGTGCCTTTCAGGTCATTGTTTGCACTTGCATGTGTGGCTTGCTCACTTTCAGCCAACTGATTCTCAGCAGGTCCTCCAACGGCTGAATCCAACATGCCATTTACATGTTCAGCACTAGAAGCAGTGGGTTTCTCCCCATTTGAAATTTCAGAAGCTCCATGTGGTAAATTGTTGGGGATCTTCTCAGATGATAATTGAATTGGGCTTGTGATCTCAACTTCTGAAAGAGAGTCAGAGGTCTTCCTCTTGGACAATTGTTCAAGGTCCGCATCAACAGCAAAGCTGAAGAATATGTTATTGTGGACATACCTGGAAAACATGAAAACAAATGAGGAACAGTTGATGTAACTTTACAAAGATTTAAGGCAATTATATTACCAAACTGATGCTTGCCAATAATTTTAGATTTTTAAAAAAGGTGAGGAGGCGTTTAATCAAATAAAGACATATACATAAAATACATACAACATGTCATCTTTATTCCTCATATTAGGCATATGAATAATGGGTGGCCAAGAGTGTATAGCTTGAGGTTTAGAGGGCACACACAGATATGGAAAACTAATGAACACTACAAACGTAGGAACCACCAAAAGAAAATTTTAATGGTATGGTTTTACAGGAGCACTGACACTGTAATACTGATATCAGGAATAAAAGATCAAAAATAATTAAATAAAGGGGCAAAGCACACTGTAATGCATAGAATACAGCAATTGCATGGAGTTGTGTAAAAGTGACTGACATATGAAAGCACTCTGGATCGGTTGGGTTGATTGGTGGTATACATCTGCTGATGACTCCAATAGCACCACTAGTTGCAGCATCTACAAAGTCAGAAGTGACTTTGTAAAGGGCCCTATCTCGCAAGATCCTGGAAATAATTGTTATGAGTGATATAAGAAAGTTAAAAGCACCATAAATACCATCATTCGTAATAATGGCAACAGCAATAATAATAATAATAATAATAATAATAATAATAATAATAATAATAATAATAATAATAATAATAATAAATAAGAATAATAATAAAGCTTAATAGAGTACATTCACATTCACAGAGAGACAAACTACAATGGCAGCTAAAGAGGTAGCATGCACCTTTCCTGTGGTGTCCCATGCGGAAATTCCCGACAGGATTGCAACTCTTCATTCCAATCTCTTTGCATCCCAATCAGCTCACTTCCAAAGGAGAGTGTCAAAGCATTTTCTGCCCTAGCTGCATCACGTGTGTGATCTGAAGCAAGAAATACAAGTTAATACCACACTGATAAATATAGTGTGCGCACTTCTTCCATATGCAACCAAAAAAATAAATCAATCAAACACAATTAATCAGAAGGATTGGAGAAGCAAGTGCCACAGGCATAGACAATTCAACATTGATTATGGACCACAAATAGAGCAAAACCAGAGTTTCTGCGAGGATACAAAGAGCACCTAATATCTTAATCAGATAAAACTTTACGGATCAAAATGTTTTAAAGTGGGAAGGAAGCAAGCAGTTAAAACCAATATAGATATGATTAGTGGCTGGTAAACTCAAGCAAAGCATTCAGACTTAAGTGTCTCAATGACCTTGAACATCCCATTTCAAATGTGGACGAAAAATAAATTTATAAGCTAGCATCATAATAGCTAATGAAAAGCACTTACCAGGAATGGGATAGGAGCCAAGCCATGAATTTGGGGACAGTAGAGATTGAACATTTTCAAAAGGATGTGCAGAGGCCTTCTGCTCCAATATTTCTCGAAAGGCTTTAATAAAGAAAAGAGAGTGGTTTATAATTACATATGGTTTTCAGTATATTCAGAAGCCCAAATAAACAATGACTACTTCTAAACATGTATTTGATACCTTTCTTAAACTTTGAGCTAATCTTTTGCAAAAGTCCAATTAGAGTTGTTGCTTCGGAGGCAGTTTTACTTGGTCTTGGATCAAGCACATTTGCAGTGCTTGAATTAACATAGAAGTTTTTAGTTGTTCCTGTAATAGAATATTTGTTTCCCTCAAGGGTTACTACATCCAAATAAATCAAATCTCCAGCAAGCCTGAATGCAATAAAAACAGCACTCACAATGTTATTGATAACATTCAACAAGAAAAATATTGGATATGATTACACATATTACTTGAATATAATAATAATACCTTCTGTAGCTGGGAGGAGGATTAAATGAAGAGAACACAATACTCTCCACACATTTCACCTCCTTGAAAATTGTTGATAACAAATTGGAGAGGGAACTGGAAATATTGTCCACAAAACCCATATTATCGAGTTCTGGTATATCAGCTTTGATTGGCTCTATACGATAAATATCCAAAAAAATATTGTTACCAGAATCATACAGTACATTTTAAATATGATGAATAAAGAAACCACTAAAAAGGAAAGGAGAAAATCTAAAAAGGAGAATGAAGGAAAGCTTGACTTGAATAACAAACCTCCAGATTTGGCAGCTGTTGGTTGCCCTGATTCATGCTGTAGTGCAAGTGATGTTGAGAGAGAGGAATGCAAACTGGAAAGAGATAACAATTCTCGAGTACGGTGAACATGAGCCCTAATAGATCGATCATCATATAATGCTGCAAGCAAACAAGCAATAACAACAATGTTATTTAGCCTGCAAATTCTAGCACTAATGCAGGCCAAGCATAAGACAGACATACCAGGAACCATCTCTAGGGAGCAGCTTCCAGAGGTGATATCAGCTACCTCAGAAATTTCATTATAATCCTCTAGATGATAATTTGATCCATCCTTTGTGTGCAATAACAGGTCATAACAAGTAAAGAAACATGTCTCTGGAGCATCAAGAAGAAACTGCTTCACATCCATAACAGAATCCCCAGGACTCAGCTGCAATCATAATACCATCAAAACATTCACAAACACCAATGTTGAATCACTTGAACAAAATAATTTATATCTTATTCTGTTAAAGGAACTCAGTTTTCTGACCAGCATAGAAGATTGAACCATTTCATGGTATAGGGTATATTCAGTGACTTTTAATATACACTATGTAAGTAGGATTTACAAATAATTTCAAAGAGATCGGAAGAAATACATATAAAATTTCACGCTGCAGGGTATGGGCATAGGAAATAGGATATAAACAAGCTAATGACAGATTTCAAATTTAATGGTAATCTTTGTCTTACTTGAAGCTCTAGTTTTTCACCCCCTTGAGTTTTAACAGTAACTGGATATAGATGGATACCACCTGATACAGAAGACCTATTGTCAGATATAAATTATATTGTTTCCGAAAACAATCCAAAGTAATTGAAGATTAACATAATATGTATCTGAATTAAATAACGGGGACATAATAAGGGGAAAGTGAGCCATGTCTCATTAATGTTGTAAACACTTAAGTTTCAAAAGAGGGTTACGACAAACTAAATCATCAGAGATAAACAAATTAGATATAGTGTAGTTGTTGAAGAATATCATAAGAACAAGGGTAGTATAGCAACAAGGCACTGTCATTCTTCATTTCTTTAAGTAAGATATTTCACCTCCAGTAACAATTACGCTTTCCATTCCTACAATAAATTATGTATGCAAATATTAACATGGAACCACATTTGCTTATACATCTGTGGTCATCCTAGGGGAAGGAATTATGTGTGGAGAGAAATAGGCATTAAGTTGACCCACAATGTTTCAATCCATATTCTAAATAATAGTCCATGTAAAAGATCCATCAACTTCTATCAAACTGAAGCAAAAACAATGTTGTGGTAAGCCTGGTAGAGGAAAATGGGAAAATAATATCTCTGAGCTTGCACAAACAAATTAAAAATATGTGTAGACACAAAAATAAACCATTTGAAGCTAGAAACAGACAGCTGCAGACTAAACGTTTAGAATACATCTAAACATAAAGTAATGAACAAGCAGTAAAAGCAAATTAAAGGTCCTGGACTGGGATACATAGCGGTGTATAAGTTCCTTAGTTCTTTACCAGTAGTGACAATTTTATGAATTCTAAAGTTACAGACAGGACTATTAGTGCAAGAGGCAAGGAAAGAAGAGGCAAACAATAACTCCACCTTCCTTCGGCTGGTCCCCTGGAGCCCCATTCGAAGACTCTTTCATTTCAGTCTTCATATCAGCGGATACACTCAATTCTGCATTTCCATTAGCTTCTGAACTTACACAATCACTCATAGGAGCATCAGATGGCACTTTATGCTCAGTAGCACTGGTGGCATTTTGCCCTTTCCGATTCTTCCCTTTGTTCGATTTTCCAGCCATCTCTAACCCCTGCACACACAAAAATGCACCATATAAGTATTCAAGTCACCAAGCATTTCTGCTTATTACTCCATGAATTTGACATGCTTGCTTCTAAAAAGCCACAGAAAACGAAATAAAAACATTAAAAACTAAGCGAAATGGAAAACAACAACGAAAGGGATAATGATTATTTGATACATTCCACTGTTTATAAATCAAAATAAAAAAATTAATACAATTTAGCCAAACAGTGTTCTATGATAACTCAATATAAGCAAGCAAATAGTGGTTATGGCGGTACCTATTAAAGAGGGCTACTCCGGTGGCGTGCCGGCCGTCTGTGTTGAAAGAGAGAAACGGTGAGTGGTGAAAGAGTGTAAGGGTGAATAAAACAAGGGCGTGCGTATGATCGGCTTGGCCTTCTTGCTGCGGCCTGCGGGTAGGGCTTCTAAAAATAAAATCTCCTTTTTATAGGGTTTCACACTTTCACCAACTTTGAGTATGTGCAGCCCAAGTGTTATTTTGGCTTGAGCTTTATAAATATATAATAATAAAATAAATAAATAGCTGCAAATAATGAAGAAAAAAATGTTGTTAACATTTTTGGATATGCATTAAGAAAATCTTGTGAATGCATTAGATAACTAACAAACATTCAATATTGGTAAAACTACACTCAAATTGATTTGAGTACACTATTAATTATGCATTCTCAAATATGGTGTAATACACGTACGAAATTTGTAATACTAATTACGAAAACAGTATCATATTTTTTATATTTTTTTCTTATTTTTTACCAATTATATCTCTCAAATAAATGGGTATGGTTTATTCACACTTGTACTCTACTTGCATTGAAAATTTGAATTAGGGATGCACTCAGGTGCAAATAAGTGCCCAGGAAGGAATATGCGAACGAATCCGTACGCGACACGTGTCCAAATCTAATAGCTTAAATAAAACGCGGTGACAGTTTCGTAAATAATTGAACATCGAAGTGCAAGTAAAATCGCTTACAAGTGCACTTACTTTCACCTATAAGTGCGTGTAATTTTGTCTTGTTAACATTCACTTCCCGCAAACGTTCATGCACCTATTTATAACTATAGGTGCAACTATTTATAACTATAGGTGCAACTACTTATAACTATAGGTGCACATATTTTCACCTATAAGTGCATGTAATTTTGTCTTGTTAATATTCATTGATCTGAGTTCAGCGCGTAGTAATACCCATGAAAACCACCCGTAAACATTCATGCACCTAGGTGCAACTACTTAGAACTATATGTGCAACTACTTAGAACTATTTGTGCAACTACTTAGAACTATATGTGCAACTATTTAGAACTATTGGTGCACTCAGTGTAAATTTTTACTTGCACCTATAATACATTTTACATGCACTTGTAATACATTTTACTTGCACTTCGATGTTCAATTATTTACGAAAATGTCACCGCGTTTTTTTTTAAATCAGTGTTTCTCATCCATTAGATATGGACACGTGGACGAACAGAATCCATTCATATTTCGCGCCTGGGCGAAGCATAATCGGTGTTTCTCATCCATTAGATCTGGACACGTGGACGAACAGAATCGATTCATATTTCGCGCCTGGGCGAAGCATTCGCACCTGAGTGCGATTCTAAGGATTAGATTAATATTTATTATAGAGTTAATTCTACCAGAGGTTCCTTGTTTTTTATGACAATTCCAAATTTAGTCCTAGACTATCATTTTTGTCATTTGACGTCCAAGACTTTTATTTTTTAGGCACTTTTAGACCTTTTTATGACTTTTTCTATTTTTAGTAAGGATATTTTTATCCATTTACATTTTTCTTTTGTTATTTTTTCTGTTTCAAACGATTTAATTGGTTTAAGACTTTACTAAAATCAATTAAAAAGGTACTTACTAGTTTATGTTTGATTTTTTTTTTTTTTTTTTTTTTTTTTTTGTGTAGACTTAGTGATGTTGTCCGTGTTGCATATTTGATTAAAATATTTATTAATTTCATTAATTCGATTAAAAAATAGCATCTTTGTAGGTCTTGCTTTTTTACTTTATAATATATTTTAATTAGTAATCAATATTAATCATAGTTACCCCTACCAAATATATATATATATATATATATATATATATATATATATTAATCATAGTTACCTTTTTTATTTTACTCTTTTCACTGTATGCTATCCTTGGTTATTCTTTTCAATTCTTACCTCTATGACTAGTTGAGTTGCCCATACGGACTATTCCAATAGAATCGTAATTTGCTATCTCGTAAATATGACTTGGTATTTAAGACTTGTTTGTAACAAAATACGATAATGATAAGAGTGCTAACTGCATCATGCTATTGATATGTACTTTGATGTCCTATATGCAACATCTCTAACTTGTTTAATATAGGCCTTGATATCTATATCACTGTCTTCCATTTAGCAACAACTCCAATGATGTGTACTTTGATATTCTATGTGCAACATCTCTAATTTGTTTAATCCAGGCCTTTGATATCTATATCACTGTATTCCATTTAGCAACAACTCCAATGAAACTATATATCATTGTTTCTACCTCTGTATTCAATTTCATGCTTCAGGCCATGCAGCAATACCATTTTTGTCTCTAATTTGTTGAGCACACAAATGACAATATAGTCTGCCATTTGTATATATTTTTAAGATTGTATTTGTATAATTGTGCATAGTATATTTTTTTAAAAGTATTTTTATTAGCAACTAAATAAACATTTAGCTAAATACCTTGAGGGCATGTGTGATGGCATCACTGTTGAGTCACGTTCCAATCAATTGATTATAAATAAGTTAAAGTGCCTTTGGTTTGTCTCATTCACTCTTATATATAGCTTTTGTCAACGGATGAGATTTGTTCTATACATGTAACGGGATTGTCTTTATAAAATATTTTTAAAATACATACTCTTTTTAGATTAGTTTATATTTGTACAAACTTAGTAAAAATGTTTATTCCGATTTTCTCCATGCTTTAAATCCATTTAAAATTTGAAGGCCCACTACCCCAATGTCAGTCCTTTTTTTTTTTTTTTTAGTTGCATTGTGATTTTGCTATGCATATTTTTTTTTCATACAAAAATAACACAATATAAGGGAAATTTGCATTTTGGTCATTTAAATATTTTGCATGTTAAAAGTTAATCAATTAAGTATAAGATTAACGAATTTGGTCCTTTAATTATCTAGTGGGTTGTACACGTGATTCACTTACAACGCAAATAAATATCGATTTTAATTAAAGAATATTAAAATTGGTTGTCCTATGCTAGTCAAATCACAAATGAGAATGGAGTACAATGAAGAAATTAAAAAGTGTTAATTAAAACACACAACAAAACAAAATAAAAAAACACAATTACTAAAACATTCCTCCTTATAATTGGTCCAACAGGCATACCTATTTGCTTAAAAAGTCAATTTTGCCTTGTTTGGTATAATTCAATTTTGGTTCCTTTAACTGGTCAATCTGTCATTTAAGTATTTGATAAAATGGTTTATTATATTACTTTACTTAGACAATAAGTCAAAATTTTAAAAAGCTAAGAAGAATAGCATTTTTAGTTAGATGTTTGATACAATGTAATATCTGCTCATATACTTCCGCAACCTACTAAAACACAAAAAGCCAATAACACCACCACTAAGGCTCAAACTCACAACCTTCCATTTGGAAGTCCAACCCAGATACCAAATACTACAACACCTCCATTGAGCTAGGCTTGATCTCATGACCTCTCATATAGAATAATCATTATATGTCATCTGAGCACAAGGTGTTTGGCTTGTAAAAGTAATTTAAGAGCTAATAAATTAGCATAATAGGGTGTTTGGTAAATATATATTAGCTGATTGGGTTACTAGGTTTGACTAGTTGATAGCATTAGCTGATTGTAAAAAAATGTTTGGTAAATTAGCTGATAGCTGATTACATGCAAAATGATTTTCTCAAAAAGTTGATCAAAAAAACTACTTTGAGCATCTTTTAAAATTTTAACATTTTGGAGCAATAAGTTGTTAAAAAAAAGCTAATTAATCAAACACTAATATTGATTATTTAACTCAGTCAAACAGCTAATATCGATCAAATAAGTTAAAATTATCTGACAAGCTAACTTTTTACCAAACATGGTCAATATGTCTATGCCCTTACATGTCAGTTTACATACAATCAACTATAAGTAAATAACTAATTTACTAAACATTTGTTTACAACCCGCTAATCAAATTAGCTAACCCAATTAGCTATTAGCTATCAGTCATTTGCCAAACAAGCTAACACTCCCCTTATATTTCATTTGATTTACAAATATTTTATAATTAAAAAAAAAAAAAAAAAAAAAACCTAAACGCTCATGAATGTGCGCTCTAGGCGAAGTTCATCATATGACTTTAGCCGACAAATAATCATAGAAAGTTAAACAAACTGATCATTTAGTAAAAACACTCTATTAGGGGAACTAAGCTTGGCTATCATGTCAAAAATTTTGTGATCAAGTAGTATAACTGTGGTTATTCAAATAGAAAGTCATAAGTTCAAATCCCTAGAACATTGACTTTTTGTATTTAATAGGCTGAGAAAGATTATAACAGAGCTAATAGTATATTTTAAGGATAACAATGAAAATCAGTTATTATCAAACAAAAATACAAACGAAATAAACCATACCAATAGAATCAGGTGTTATGGATTCCAATTATACCAAGAACCATATAACAGAGAAAATCAAGCACTCCACATATACATTCTCTCTGAACAGAGTTCAGGTTAGATTATACAATGAACTACGGACTACTCTCCATTAATCAAAGATTTCTGCAAAAACATTCATATATATGATATATCCTCGTATACATATCAAAGAACATCATCAACAATTCTTTGACAAAAACCAAGAAAAAAAAAATATAATGCACATTAAACGTGGAATGACTCGAGCTGTACATCCTTAGACTTCAAGGGAACATATTCTCCGAGGTAATCTTCCAGATGATCCGACAACGTAGACTTGTCGATATTCTCATGGTGATATGACTTGCAGATGAAGTAAATGATGGTTTGGGTGGTGAGTCCAAAGAGTATGAGAATCGCCAGCAACCCCACGCACAGAATCCCATACCCTACCCTCCCTGCAACCCCGCCGCCATAGCCGAGCACCACGAAGTACTCGAACCCGGTCTGAACCCCAAAGAAAACCAGGTTCAAAAGCAGGAAGATGACCGCGGAAATCCCCATTTTGCCCCTGATCAGACGCCTGCTTTTAAGTAGGGCGTTCAGGCCTTTCACGTCTTCCAGTACGGACACCACGGTGGCGAGGTGATATATTACGGTGATGTACACGAACCCTACCATGTACCCCACAATTATCGCCGCCGCCACGAGCAACCCTAGCCCCCTGGGCCCCACCACCATAACCCAGAGGATGAGGATGGAGAAGGTGAGGATATTGTAGGCGAAGAGAATCGCGAAGCTCCAGAGGAAAGTGACCATGAGGCGCTTCCAGACTTTTGGGACCACCGACATGACCCGCCGGAAGGCGATCTCCTTGGCGGTGTAGATGCTGGCGATGGTGTAGACGACGGCGGCGGTGGAGAGGAGGGCGAGGACGAGGAAGAAGATGAAGTAGGCGATCTTGAAGAGCCAGAAGGCGGTCCATTCCGAGGAGAGAACGTCGGAGATCTTGTCGTACGTTTGCGTGCCCCGCTGGATCCTGTCGAGGATGTACTCGTCGCGGAGGATGTCGGTGAAGAGGATGTCGGAGATCTCGATGTGCGCGAGGTAGATGAAGGAGAGAGGGACGATCATGGCGGCGGTAATCTGGGAGAAAATATTCTTCCATGTGGAAACCAGGCTGAATGATTCTTTGAATATGCTGAAGAAGCCTAGAAACTGAATCTCGTCTTGTTCCTTGTCCATTGCTGCGATTAGATATGAGATGATATGATGAAACAGAGGAATAATCAAGAATGGATATGGAAGATGAGGCTTTTTCTGCCTGGATAATCTATCCTGGTATTATATTGAGGAAGGAAGATGAACGGTCTATTTTTGATTTGGTTTGGTATGATAGAGAAGTGGTAGACTTTGATTTTTAGTTTATGGAGTGGTTGCCGGTCAAATCACTCAAATGGGGTGGGGAAATTATTCTTTTTAATATATAAAGAAAAAATTTGTAATTAGTGAGTAAATTTCATTATAACCTGGTTTGAACCTTCTCCTGTATGAAAACTTGAAAACTTAATCTGACATCTTGTTCAAATAATGAATTTGATTGACTTGCAATCATTAGATACCAGAGTAATGTTACACCCTCTGGATCACCCCTTTACCGGCCATTTGGTTGCAAGTAGGAAGTATATGAATTGTAATTTCTAAAAAAATAATGAGGTGAAAATAAAATATAATTTAAATTCTATTGTTTGGTAACCAATAATATAATTATTATGAATTTCAGTTATAGTGTTTGGTGTATATGAGAATTGAAATGGACGAAGTAATAGAAAAATTAAAGTATTATTGTGTAATAATAATAGCCACTTAATAATAAAGAAATTTCTTCTTACCCCTTATAATTTTCCCCTCCTAAATTCCTCTATAACTTGATTTATAATTATTCGATGTCATGAATTGGTTGTCCCCACAAACTTTTAATAAAAAAGTAAAGCAACTAATCAAGCAATGTCATATCATAATATTTTTTTGTTTAGAGGTCAATATCATTACTATTACTATAATAATAATAATAATAATAAGCAAAACAATGTAAGACATGTGTTTGACAAACAAAATAAGGGTGAATTTCTTTACTCGTTAATTTTTTTTTTCTTTCCATTCGGCATGAAATATAAATTAATGGAGAAATGGTGGTAATTAAAATTTCATAAAATAGAGAATTTTTGGGAAATTGTAATTTTTTCTAAAAAACAAATGAAGCTAAGGAATTATGTTGAAAATAAATTGAAATTTTCGTTTAAAAAAAAATTGAAATTTTCATTTACCAAATAACATGTTAGGGGTAGGGGCAGTGCGGAAACTTCGTGTGCCCGCTTCTTACGTCTTTCAATTTTCGTGTGCAAGTAGTCTAAGGTCACAACGTGTGAAAGGGGCGCGGCTGACGAATTCAACGCGGAACACTATGGGTCAATGGTCATTGCTTACTTTTTTCTTTTTAGCTCTTTTAAATTGGATAAGGATTTTTATTGGCAATTAATATTAATATTATTTATATATTAAAATAATATAAAATATTGGCTATAGATGGTTTTTTAAAATTAGGTTGACCACACATTTTAATAATTGAGGATAAATGAGTAACAAGCACAATAATATACTAAATACAATATTGAGTTGTCGTTGTTTTTTTTTTCCTCATAATAGCTTAATGGTTTATTGGGCAGAATTTGGGGGAAGAGACTAAGGTTTGAACCTCGGCGGCGACAGTGTAAGAATTATGTTCAAAGTGGGCAGATTCCTTGTGCGCACCGGCATTGGCCCTGTCTGCTGAACCATTAAATCACCGTGATTTATATCCTCTCACATGCTTTATCAGGTCGGAGTGTGCCCTTAGAGTCGGAGATTCAACTTTTTGGGATTTCAAGAAGAATGTTTAATTTCAATATAGAAATTGTTGTTGATCTGGCATCTCTAATTGATAGCTTGGGAGTTCGTTGCTTCCCCACGAAACACACACACACACACAAGTGAGAATCTTCATTAACTGTTCGTTGCTTCACCACGAATCACACACACACAAAAGTGAAAATCTTCATTAACTACCATCCACAACCAGCTTGATTGGCGTAAGTGACCGCGAGTTCAAAATATGGACATATATAACCACACATTTCATATTGATAAATAATATTAACACTTATAAACTTTCAAATTTGCAATAATTATAAAATCAACTTCAATTTTAACAGTTTTTAATAATTATAAAACTGACCTCATTTTTTTAAAAAAATACAAATTATAATTTATTGATAAACCTTGATGGTGGTCATCTTTTGTGAACCTTTGTTAATAGATGTATACCCACGATTAGGAAGTTTTGGTTTTTAGATTGTCAAGTGAACACATGAGGAGTTGATTTGAAAGATAGATATATCTACTAGGAAGCCCTGAATACAATAACCATATTGATATAAATGGATTGTCATACCACTTTGTGTGAGAAATAGCTCAACTGCATAAGATAATTTCAAAAATAAAAATAAAAAAAATTGCATTTTCTAGAGTGAAAATTTACGATTTTTGTACTACATAAAGAAGTGATATGAAATTAAGGTTTTAAACTTTTTCCACCACCATATATAGTGATTGAAAATGTTGTTTACTTTTTATTATGGTCATATAATTTTGGCAATCAAATTAATTTTATTTTATTTTTAAATAAAAGGTTAAGTTATTTTATATACAAAAGGCCGCTGGTGAGACTCAATCCCTATTCATTCTTCCAAATATTCACCTCTATGACCAGTTGAGATGCCCATGCGGGTACTTTACATTCATTCATAATCCAATGTCTAGCTGACATATTTGTTGTAAAACTGTGAGGGTCTACAACTTTGTTACGAGAAAATATTTGATAATAATATCATCGTAGAGCTTGATTCTAAGGCGGGACCGAGGTGTTATTGACTTATTGGACAAATTGAGCAATGAAGATAAGCATAATGCCTTAATCTTGGACTACAGGTTTCTTGCATCGAAGTTCTCTTACCTAAGAGTCATGCATGTATTGCGAGAAGGAAACAAATATGCCGACTTTCTTGCCAAACGTGAGTGGGGCTAATGAGAAATTAGGGAACAACATTTCTTGAGGACCCCCGGATGATTTAATTAACATTTTGCTGGCAGACGCGAGTGAGACTGCCACTCAGAGAACCCTCTAATCCGAGGCCTAGCCTCTCGTTCATCTAGAAAAAAAAAAAAGAAGAGAAGCTAAGTAGATGAAATTCACATTAACCTTTAATTTTCCATTTTCGTTATAATTTCGTTGCTAAAAAATGCTGAACTAAACATCGATTGTATTAGTTGTGTACATTGTTTTCCACTTTTCCTAGTGCATTGAGGATTTGGGGCATAATTACACGAAAGCTTAGAGATTATTAAGTAATTAACCATTGTTAACGTACCTAATTACGGAGTACAAATTTGTAAAAATCATTTTTTGTCGAACCCGCCAGGCGCGAAAATGAAATGCACAGGCTTTATATTTGATGGACACGTGTTTATATTTGATTCGAAGTGGTTCCCTCCACGAGGATCGTTTTACGGATCACGACCTTATATCCTATCTGAACCGACCAAAGTTGAAATTAATCAACGGCTGAAACTCGCCTCCGAAAATCCCAAATTTCAAAAACTCCCCAAATACCCAACCCTCCCGCCCTCAAAACCCTTATATAAATTTCCCCCAAATCCCTTTCAATCTCACAAGCATTCATAGCAATTTCTGCAATCTATACATACAATTTGAGCTTTCAATCGTTCCAATGGCACGTACCAAGCAGACAGCTCGCAAGTCGACCGGAGGAAAGGCTCCCCGGAAGCAGCTGGCCACCAAGGCCGCAAGGAAATCTGCTCCGGCCACCGGCGGAGTGAAGAAGCCCCACCGTTTCCGTCCAGGGACGGTGGCTCTGAGGGAGATCCGGAAGTATCAGAAGTCCACCGAGCTCCTGATCCGAAAGCTGCCGTTCCAGAGACTCGTTAGAGAGATTGCGCAGGATTTCAAAACCGATCTTAGGTTCCAGAGCAGCGCCGTCGCGGCACTCCAGGAGGCGGCGGAGGCCTACCTCGTCGGACTCTTCGAGGACACCAACCTTTGCGCTATTCACGCCAAGAGAGTCACCATTATGCCTAAGGATATTCAGCTCGCTAGGAGGATTCGTGGCGAGAGGGCTTAGGTTGAAGTTTGATAATCTGGTTGATTTCAGTTTCTGTTGCGTAGTAGTCTGTTCTGTTTTGTGTTTGCTTACTGTGCTGCTTTTCCTGGTATGTGGTGTTAGAATGGTGTAAATTCTAGGGTTCCTGCAGCATTGTTGAAAGATATGTAGACGTGTAGTCACTGTGCTAGTGAAAATTTAGGTTATCCTGGTTAATGAAATTTATCAAGTTTTCTGCCATCTGGAAGCAAATAGCAATCTGAGATAACCATGTTTTCTGAATGGATCTTCTATTAATGGCCTGCACAAAAAATGGTATCCATGAACTTTGAAATCTGTGATGTTCATAAACTTGAATTATAAGTTTTGCTAGTAAAGGATTGAATGATTGATATGCCCTTAAACTCACCCCATGTCCCCAATTATTATTCTTTGTTGTGTGTTCCAGTGCGTTAGGTTTAACATATTTTGTATCATTATATCAATATTTTGATTAAAAATGGCTTGCATATGATTCCATATATAGAGTAGGTACCTGCATAAAAGTTTCTTTCAATTATTTATGTAAAAGTTGAGTAATGACTGATAAGTTCTGAAGTGAAATGGCTGTTATGTGCTTATATGATTCTTTGCATTATTTATACTGCAGCACTATTTAACTCTAAGCTTTTCTTATGTATATATTGGTGCAGGAATCCATCAAATTCCTTATGACTATAATAACTTAAAAATGGTAAAGGTACATCCTTTATTAGTGTACTGTTTCAATATTCCAAAATAACTCAGTGTTGGGATAATTGCAAGTTGGAGTATGTTTCATGTTGCTTAAATTTTTATAAAATATATGTTGTCTTGCAAGTTGCAAAAGTGTCTTATTCTTTGTAATTGGAGCAGTAATCATCTCTTCTGCAGAAGTTCTGTCTGGTCTTACAAAATAATTCTGTGAAACTGATTGCTTTGCTCTGAGGCTGTGAACGTATCTTTAGTCACTATAACTGAGAAAGGAGATGTGGAACTGCAAAAAACATGCCACTTAGTTACAGTCTATAACTGTGAACTTGCATGTATTATCCTTCAAGAGCAGCTTACTATAATATAACTAACACATTACAATATACCAGGAAATGACAATGTTTGTAGTTACCTCTGTGCTTGACAAGGTTGCTTTATTTTATCTAATTAATTATATTTTATATTTTGAATAGTTTTTATATCAAAATTAATTATTTATCCTAATTAATCATATTTATTACTCGGCTTTAAGTATTTATTTTTTCAAAATAGCTCATTTGTCTTTAATCTTTCAACCCCACTAAAAAGATTTCTGAATTCGTCCCTACTCTTAGCAAAACTCTTAGCACAACTCTTAGCACCACCCTTAGCACAACCCCTTGCACAACCATAGCACAAGTCTTAGCACAATTCTTAGGACAACCCTTAAGTATATAATGTGTTAGTTTAGATGGTAAGATATCTTTTTTTTTTTTTTTTTTTTTTTTTTTTTTTTTTTTGTTTTTGGAAACGATGGTAAGATATCTAGTTTTTCCCTAAATGTTAAATGATAGGGGTTCAAATAATACAACTACATGATTTTATAGAGAGATTAATTCTAATTGTATTCTTTATTTGTAACATTGTGTTTTTTAGTCTTAATTTTAATATATTTTTTTTATAACTTTTTTTAGTATTAATAGTGATATATGAGTGTTTTATTATAATATCTTGGCAAAACTCTTATCACAACCCTTAGCACAACCCTTGGCACAACCTTAGCACTGCACCTCTGTTACCTTGCTAGCACCTTTTTTTTTTTTTTTTTTTTTTTTTGAAACTTTGTTAAAACTTTTGTTATTCTAATAATTTGCTTCCTTGGAGATTTGAACACTTGATCTTTGCTCCTTCGCTAACATCTTTGCTATTTTACTTTGACTTGAGCTCCTCTTTTGCTACTTAGAGCAACCCCAACAGGGGTCCATCCAAGACTTTTGGAACAGTGAAATCTTTGGAGCTTAGCTTTTGACAAATGGGAGTATGGGGTTTTAGGCATTTCTTTCCCCTGCAAAAAAATAAATAAATATAAATGGTAGGGAATATCCCGACCGGCATAAGCTTACACCCGACCGAGACGCCTTCGTCCCTTTCTCTTTGTCTTTGCAGGTAACAGGGCGGGCTCCTTGTGAAGAACCCCGACCGGGAGTTGCCCGAGCGGCAGTGTCGACCACCGAGCGGTAGCCCTTTGGCGAGAGAGCTGACAAAGGACACGTGGCGGCTCTCTACGACGACAGACAGGGCACCCGGGAGGATGACACATGGTGGCTACGTGGAGAACATGCCGAACGACCGGATTCTTGTCTCCGGCACAGCGGCTATAAATACCTACAGTAGCTACAGTGTAGAGGATTTTTGGACGATCGATAGGTTGTTGTTAGAGAATCCCGACCGCAGTCAGTCGACACTCAGAGCAACCAAGTAGATTGTACTTAGGGCCTCTACCGTGATCAATAAAGACGTTTATTTGCTTTGATTGGTCTCGAGTTTATTTTATATTGTTTACGTATAATTAGCAGTATCATTTTGGCGCCGTCTGTGGGGACCCGTGCAAGAAAGCAACGTCTAGACGAGCACCCGGTCTCTTTACAACAATGTATCCGTGGGTATACAACAACTTCGCCGACGACCAAGCAGATGCGGCGAGCTCATCTGACCATCACGCTACCCAACAGCAAGGTCAGACGGTGGATCTCAATCTCAACCTCTCACCACCGCATCCATCCAACAAATACCCGGCCGCCCAACAGCCGGTGAACTACATACAACCGGGACTTCAGACGCCTGGTCAGCAATACACGCAACCAATGATGTATCCCAGTCAGTATCCATACCCGGTCCCACCTCAATTGTACGGATATTGGCCAGGCCAACCAATGTACTACACTCCCCCGGTTGGCTATTCACCTTTCATACCTGCGTACACGGCTCCAGCCGCCGCCCCTCCAGTATACCCGGCCGCTCAAGTAGAGCCGCAGCATCAGCCCACTTCCCGGGCTCGACGCTCGGCTCGTTCGCGGTTGGGGTCGGGGGGTGCTGTTGCGATGGAGGCACCATGGCAGGCCCAGCAAGCAGAGGAGGTTCCCGCCCGAGCGGAGGACCCTGAAGAAGTTACCCGAGCGGTAGCTTTTGACCGTCTTCGACCGGAAATGCGGCAAAGATTGGGGCCCCAAGACCCAAATCGCCAGCCGGAAGACGTGCACATGCAGGACGCCAGCCAGGAGGCTTCATCCGGGCATAGCGGGTCGAGATCACACCGTCGGCGACGCGCTCGGGACACAGCCCAAGCCGCCGAGCTCAACGAAACCCGAGGATTGCTCTATAATCTCCAGGCGGAAGTCGCGCAACTCAAAAATGCGTACCCTGCAACACCCCCGGTCGACCAATCGACCCTGCACCAGACGCCTTTTACAGCGGCGGTGATGGCCCAGCCTTACCCGCTTGATTTAAAGGTCTCTGGAGAGAAAACTTATGATGGTCGGGCAGACCCCGAAGCCCACGTTAACGATTTTTACAGCAATATGATGCTGAAGGGCGTTTCAGACGCCGTAATGTGTAGGGCTTTCTATTCTACGCTCACCGGTCGGGCGGCAGAATGGTTTCGAACCTTGCAACCGGGCTCGATCGACAAATTTGACACCTTGGCGATCAAGTTCGTGAGGAAGTTCATCACTTCCAAAGTGGTGAGGAAGCCCTATATGTATCTGGAGAAGGCCAAGCAGCTCGAAGGGGAAAGCTTGACCGACTTCCTCATCAAGTGGAAGGCGGCGGTCGGGGAGGTCGAGCCTATGGACGATGCGACCGCCACCCACATGCTTCACATCTCTCTCCGGGCGGGATATTTGTATCAAGACTTCATCCTACACCCCCCGGCCATTTATGAGGAGGCCCTTCGAAGGGTCACAGATTACGCCAACGCCGGCGAGGCGAATGCCGTAAAGCGCTCGCAGGTGGTCGGTTCCTCGTCCCGTAAACCGGCCGGCCGGGCGGAACATCGGTCGGGTGATGACCATTCCCGATCCCGCACCAGGCCTGGTGAGTTTACGGCCTTGAACCGATCCGCAGCGGAGGCCATGCAGTACGCCCAGTCCTGCAATCTCATCAAACTCCCCCATCCCGATCGAGACGGCCCCGACAAGAATAAGCATTGTGCTTACCACCGATGTGCCGGGCATGACACCGAGGAGTGTACCCACTTGCGCCAACTGTTAGAAGATTTGCTCAACTTGGGGAAGTTGGACAAGTGCGTGGGGAAGAGAGAGGACAACAGGAGGAATACCGATCGGAGAGATCACTGGCGTTCCCATCACCGCTCCGATCGATCTGATCGCGATGGACGCTCCGATCGGTCAGGTCAGGACCGAAGAGATGATCGAAGGGACGATTGTCATGATGCTCGACGGGACCCTGACCCTTCGTCCAGCAGCCGACCCTCAGGAAAGCCCACTATCCACGTTATTTTTGGTGGATTGGAAGACGCTTCCCGACCGCGGACCAATTGCCCGGTCGCTATTGTGGATTCCCGGGAGACCGGGAGGAGACAGAACCCGACCAAGTGCACATTTGCGGTTCAGACCGGCAAGTTCCTCGGCTATATGATGACCAAGAGAGGAATTGAACCTAACCCGGCCAATTCCTCTCCAAGGAATTCCACCGTTCGGGACGACGTAGAGAAGGTCGATTGGTCATCCGGTTATATGATGACCAATTGACAGGTCGGATCAAACGAAATCCGAAGAAGACCTGTGCCGAACCGATCCGGAAGGGGTCCAGCGACCGGTGTACTATGTAAGCCACGCGCTACATGGTCCCGAGCTCCGATACTCCCGGTTAGAGAAGGTCGTCTATGCCTTATACATTGCCGCGAAGAAGTTGGCTCCCTATTTCCAAGTTCGAGCAATTCGCGTGTTGACCGATCAGCCGATCGGACCAGTCCTCCGAACTGCTTCATCATCCGGTCGCCTAGTCAAGTGGGTCGCCTAGTCAAGTGGGCGTTAATGCTGACCCAGTACGCGATCGAATACCGACCAAGACCTACCATCAAAGGTCAGGCCCTTGCTGATTTCTTGGTCGAGTGCACCGCCCGGGACACCCGACCCCCCGAGGTCGCGGATCCTGAGGCTGAGTGGTGGTTGCTGGCTACTGACGGGTCGAGTAGCAAGAAAGGAGCAGGAGGAGGAGTGGTGGTCACGAGCCCGGAAGGATTTAAAGTTTATTTTGCTCTCATGTATCAGTTCCATCCGACCAATAACGAAGCCGAATACGAAGCATTTGTTAATGGCTTACAATGCGCTCGGGACTTGGGGGCTGAATACATCCGAGCTCAAACAGATTCTGCGCTCGTGGTCGGGCAGGTTCTCGGAGATTATGAGGTCAATGGAGAGCGTCTACAACTGTACCGAGACCTGGCCGTGGAGAAGCTTGCTCAGTTCCGGGGGTATACCGTTCGGCACATACCCCGATTGGATAATGCCGATGCAGATATCTTGTCTAAATTGGCTCAAGACGCCCCGGAACACATGTCGAAGATAGCTCGGATTTTGGTGATCCCGAGACACAGCATCCATCGCCTACCGGTCAATCCGATCCAACCGGTAGAAGACAATTGGACCACTGATCTGAAGGAGTTCCTCGAGCACGGTCGATTCCCAGACGACCCCCAGCGTGCTCGAAAAGCCAAACTGAGAGCCCCGAGGTTCCAAGTCTTGGACGGTCGTCTCTACAGGCGATCGTATGGAGGCCCTCTTATGCGTTGCTTGACCGCATTTGAGGCTGATTTAGTCATGAAGGAATTGCACTCGGGAATTTGTTCTTCACATCAAGAAGGCCGATCCCTGGCCCGTCGTATCATGCTGATCGGGTACTATTGGCCGTCCCTCCAGCTAGACTGTGAAAAGTTAGCTCGGGAATGTGAGACGTGCCAACTGTTTGCCCGGATGCCTGGACGACCGACGACCTTCTATCAGCCGGTCACGACTGCAATTCCCTTTGCAAGGTGGGGGTAGATATCTTGGGCCCTTTCCCTCAGCTCTCCGGTCGGAGAAAATTCGTGATAGTCGCCATCGATTACTTCTCTAAGTGGATAGAAGCCGAGCCCTTAGCCACGATCACTTCTCAGCAATGTGCTCGGTTCCTTTGGCGTAATGTGATTTCCCGCTTTTGTGTGCCCGTGCATCTCATCAGCGACAACGGCCGCCAATTCGTAAGCCAATATTTCCAGAACTTCTTGGCCACGATCGAGACGACTCACGTCCGGTCGTCGGTGGCTTACCCGCAGGGAAACGGTCAAGTGGAGAACGCCAACCGGACGATTTTGGAAGGTCTAAAAAAGAAGTTACACTCGGCTGGTCGTAGTTGGGCCGATGAGTTGTCATATGTCTTGTGGACTTATCGGACGACCACGAGGGAAGCTACTTTGGAGACCCCTTTCGCCCTGGTTTATGGAGCAGAAGCCCGACTCCCAATCGAGGCTTGGGTCCCGACCGATCGAGAGAGAACATACAATGCGGAGGAAAACGAACATGCGATGGTCGTGGATCTCGACGGGGTCGAGGAAAAAAGAGAACTAGCCGCTCGGCGTATGGCCGAGTACCAGAAGCGGGTCAAGAGCTCGAAAGATGTTCGGGTCAACCCTCGTTACTTCCAAGTTGGAGATTACGTTCTACGACGAAGGGAGGCCAGTCAACCTTTGGAGGGCGGAAAGCTAGCTCAGAATTGGGAAGGGCCGTACATCATCAGCGCAATCATACGGCCGGGTACATACCGATTGGAGACGACAACCGGTTGGATAATTGAGGGGACTTGGAATTCCGAGCACCTCGTTATGTTTAGGCATTAGCCTATTTTTTGTAATCTTTAGACGAAGTGGGGGCTCGACCTGCGAGTTAGTCCCGGTCGTCGTTTGTAATTAAATTTTATGATTGTAAATATTTATTTAATCGCCTGCGAGCGGGAAGGTTTAATGTACATACGATCGGTGATTGCTCGACCGGTCGCTGGACCCCTTCCGGATCAGTTCGGCACAGGTCTTCTTCGGATTTCGTTTGATCCGACCTGTCAATTGGTCATCATATGAAGCTTGTTTTTTGTCAAACTTGTGTCGTTCGCCTCTTTTCCCGCCCTTTTACTTTTAACCTTAGTCATGCAAATGCCGACCTTTAGTGCTCGACCTCATGGCCTTTTGGCCTGGTCTTGCAGTATTCGACCCGTGCGACGCCCGACCTTACGACCCGGTCGTGTCTCTGAAGTTCCGACGTCAGACTGGCCAACCCGATAGAGTTCACCCGATTCCTAGGCCTTGACGAAACAGGTAAGCCTCCACGGTCGGGATATATCCGAGCGACAGTCAGTCAGCACTCAGAGCAACCAAGTAGATTGTACTTAGGGCCTCTACCGTGATCAATAAAGACGTTTATTTACTTTGATTGGTCTCGGGTTTATTTTATATTGTTTACGTATAATTAGCAGTATCAATAAATAAATAAATTGTGTCAGTTTTTTTTTTTTTTTTTTTTTTTTTTTTAGGAAAAGAAAAGAAAAGAAAAGAAAAGCTGGTCCGTTGCAGCCCGCATGGGCGATTGTGTTAGCTTTCACTATATTTTTTTTAAATTTTTATTTTAAAATTACGCTGGTCGCGTGGGCGATTGTTCCTTTATCAAAGCATCACATCATTGGATGAAAATATCATTTACCTATTTGAGTAATTTGAGATTATCAACATTCTCGTAGTCATACATTATTCACGTTTCACGAAATACTTTTTTTATAACGTTCAAGAGAGGTAATCCACATATAGAAAACCAACAAACGCACAAAGTAATCTTACACATTCTCGTAGCCTTAACCTTTGAGGAAGTAATCTTATTACATTATCAGCTTTGTGAGGTAATAATCCAATTACATTCTTATAACTTTCCAAGGAGAGGAGTAATCCACATTCTGAACAATACCTTCTGACATTCCTCAAAAACACAGTATAGACTATAGATTCTGAGTTTTCAGTTTTCAGTTTTCAGAGAGAATATTCTTCATCACTAATGGATTTAATTAACCTTGGGTGACCTGAATTATTAAACGCGAATAAGAACACGAATAGGAAATAGATAGAAACGATGTCGTAATAGATCGTGAAGACCGTATATTGTATTATATGCCGTAAATAGGCTATTACAATGGTTTGCTAGGACAGAGTATGTAAGAATGATAGAATGTCCCTTAATTGGACAAAGAGTGGGTCTTTTATACAAGTCATGACCTCCTAAATCGGGGAAAGCGGTTGCCCCTGCCATGACCGCGCCCGGTCTGGAGACCGGGCAACGCGACTGAGGTCGGCTGCCGAGCTCGGACCGACCTCCAGCTGACCTCCAGACGATCTCGGTCTAACCTCCAGCCGACCTCGTGTCGGCCTCCAGCCGAGGTGGATAGACGGGGCACGTAGCGCCGCCCCGGGGTCCGTGCCGAGGTCTCTCGCCGGGGCCTAGTGCTGAGGCGCCCGCCGAAGCCTCGTGCAGGTGGACGAATGGGACACGCAGCGCCGCCCCAGGGTCCGTTCTTGCTCCATGCTCTCGGATCGATTCGGATCCATTCGTAATATATCCATCAATCACAATTCTCATGAATGAATGGGTCTCACCACTATAACATTCCCCACTTGAAGTAAAATATCACCATTCTAATTCTAATGTATATTACCACAGAAGTAAATGACAATAAGTTGTGCAAATTAATTAAAAGTTGACAGTGAATGCTAAACGAATGACTGCCTTTACAGCGTGAAGGAACATACATTAATCCCCCAGGTGGCTAACTTACTGAGAATTCATTAAGGCATAGAATTGAATTGGTCTTATTAATGCATATATGGTTAAACACGGAATAGAAACGTAATGTATTCCCAACATTTAATCTCAATCATCTAAGATAATCAAAGTACTAAAAAAGATGATGATCAATTCATTGATCCATTAGGCTGAAAAAAAAAATATTAGAATAGATACTACTTTGTAAGGGTTTCAATAAAATAAATTGTGATGGATCCGGCCGGGGCCAAGGCTTCTAGAGGTCTATACAACAACTTGATAGAACATAGCCGCAATACTCACTTGGAATTTCTACTTTGGTCCATTTCTTACTCTTCACCTCCAGCATATAAGCTCTTCGACTTCCCATCACCATCATCTTCCCCTGCCACCTTGTCACATATGCTACACTGCATATCTCGTCTGGAACCCTCGTGATGACCACCCATGTGCCGTCCTGTAATGCAATCACGTCCCTGCTTTCGTTCACTATGTATATTACCCCACAAATTTCTAGATAGATTGCCGGATAGGATAAAGTCATCACGTCTGAGATTCTGTCACTTAGATGCCATTGACGGGTGACGAGGTCGAGTGTTTCAGTGATTTGATTGGCCTCCACCTCATAGTAGCTGCCGATGGCGTGGAACTTGCCACGGTGGAAGACACACGTGCACTGGTCTCGCCCGTATGACATGTCCGGCAACGACATCCACCTGTCCCTCGCCATGTCATATGCCAACGTGGAGTTTAGCGAGTTGTTATCCGAGTCAAGTCCGCCAGCGACCACCACCATCCCCTCCTCCTCCGACGCCGCGCATCCGAAGAACAGGCGTTCGTTGCCTGGCATATCGGCCCCGCGCCTCCACCTGGCGGATAAGAAATTGTAGATGAAAACTGATTTCAGAAACTCCCCTGTCACCCGATCGCACCCGCCTATCACCGCCAGCTCCGGCCCAATTCCGACGACGCGGCAGAAAACCGGCATACTTTCCACCATCTCCGGTATGGGTGGAACATCGTAACAACGCCCTTTTACCGGCTCGAAAAGCGTGAGCCGGCAAACCGGTTGATTCCCGCATAAACGATCCTTGGACTGAGCCATGGCAATGAAAGGTCGGGTTAGACCGGAAGCTTTCCGGCGCCGGAGGAACTCCGGCTGCTTAATCACACCGTTCCATGCTCTACAGACAGATGCAGCCTTGGGAAACTGATCAAACGAAATCCGAATAAGACATTCCAGAGCTACCTCGTTCGGAAGACCTGGAATCAGCTCCATACACACAAAATTAAAGCAAGGGATTATTAAATTTGAGAATTTTGGGTTCTTGAAGATGAAAGCTAAGGATCCAAGAGTCTCTATTACCTTTGTTAGGGTTGGCGTATGAGATCCAAACTTTTTTAGGGTTAGTTGGCGTATGGGATCCAAACTTTTATCAACTTTAATCTTTATTACATACAACTAGTTTTGTACGCGCATTGCGCGATTGGGATAATGCCCAATGTTTTTTTTTTAAATAAGTACTTTAAAGTATATTAAGGCAGGATTATATTGAAATTGTTCATGCATAGATAATTGAAGGTTGAATTTGCGTATTTAAATAGGTAATTCTTCTCCCAAAGGTTGAGTCCCCAACCCCAAGGGCCCCCCGCACTCCGACCCGACAGAGCATTGTGGAAAGTTGTAAATCACGGTGACTCAATGGTTCAGCAGACAGGGCAAAATGCTGATACACACAAGGAATCTGCCAACTTTGGACATAATTCCCGCATTGCAGCTGCCGAAGTTCAAACCTTGGTCTCTTCTCCCAAATACTACCCACTAAACCATTGAGCTAAGCCCGTGCGGGTTAAATAGGTAATTCTAAGTTTACAAATGCAAGATAATATAGTCAAGATTGATTATAATTGTCAATAAAATAATTGTATAGGTATGATTGAAACCAAATACGGACATAAGGGAAAACAAATAAAAATTAGGGCATAAAATATTAAATATATACTAATATTGTTTGAGGAGATTCTGACATTAGGATTTGTGGTTAAGTTCTATTAAGACTTTAATATTAGAATTGGATTAATGGTGTAGTTATAATTCTATATTAGAATTAGACTAACGGTGAATTAACGGAAAAGTTAAATGGATAATTATATAATTAAAGATAAATTATAAAATCTTAAAAGAAAAAAATTAAAACCTGAACAATATGAACCATTCATTTGATTTAATAATTTGACGGTCATTTTTTCTACCCAATATTAATAATTAAATAAATTCGCTGGTCAAATCTGCTAGTATAATCCGCTAACGCTAACCTCTAACTGCTTATTGTCAAACAAGGACATTGCGAGGTAGTTCTCGCTTCAATTTGTTTTGTGATTTGAATACTCTCTTTGTCACAAAATCTCTCAAGTAGTTAATATGGTTGACTTTATTAATTATATATATATTTTTTTTAATTTTTTCATGGTATTAATAAAATACTTGGTAAATAAATATACAGCATTATTTTGTATTATAACTTTGATATTTAATTAGAAAAGTAGTGCACAAAAAAAGATAATAGATAATGTAGTGAATATAATCAATTGATGAATTTAAATGTAAAAATATTTACATTTGAGAAAAATAAAGACAATATAACTAATGAAAATATTTCTTTTAATTAATTTATTGATAATTAATAATTTTTTTTCACTGAATAAAGACATTGTAAGGATAATGTAGCGAATATAATCAATTAATAAATTTGAATATAAAGAATTTTTATATTGAAGAAAAATAAAGACAATATAACTAATAAAATTATTTCTCTTATTTAATTTATTGATAATGAATAATTTATTTATTTTTTTTTGAATAAAGACCCTTGTGGACACATAATTCTAAATTAAAGAAATGCATATATATTATTTTTCGTTGTAACTACTAAATTATTATTTATATAATTTAATAAGAGTAAAATAGAGTACTAATTATGCCAACTTTGATTGGGATGAGGTTCGAACCTAAGACCTTTTTTTTATTGAAATCAATGAGTAAGTTAACGGTGAACTAACGGCAATTCTTAAAATTTTAACGGAATTAGTAACGGTGTGTGGGTATTTTAGGAAATTTTAGTGTAAAATTTAAATCTGATCAATCTTTTAATCAATCTGAGCCATACATTTGATTAAAATCTGTGACCGCCATTTTTTATACCCATTATAGGCCTAACTCTCTTGGGCTCTTATTAGTATAGTAGATAGTAGATTTTGGAATTATTCGTTTTTAATTTGTACAAATTTAAACTTCTAAATAAATTTATAATGTTAAAAAACTATTCGATTTGGACTCTAATATTTAGTTCAGTCTTTAAATAGTTTTTTTTTTTTTGAATAAAAAATAGTTTAAGTCTATTAGAATTAAAACAACTTATGAACCTTTCAAAAAAAAAAAAAACTTATGAACTTTGAATTACTATTTTTCTCTCTAAATTTATCATTTTCTGTTTTCTATTTTTGTAAAAATAAAATGAAAAATATAAAATTATATCATTAAAAAATGTAAATAAGATTTTGAATGATTTTTTTTTTTTTTTTTTTTTTTTTTTTTTTTTTTTTTTTTTTGTCTTAGACTATGGACAGAGTAACGTGGACAATTTTAATCATCTATACAAAAAAATTGGACAATTTATTGATGAGGATAATTTTGGTCTTCCCTCTGTATTTCCTTTAGATAGCCGTTTGAAAGCGGGTAATTGTAACATTTCATGATATCTCCTTCTTGCAGCCTTCTTTCAAGGTTGTTGACGGATTTATTGAGATTTTGAAATCTCTGAAGTTGTTCTTCAAGTTCTTTGATCTTCTTGCTCATCTTCTCCTGAATCTTTGGGCAAAGTCTCTGTAGACATAGAAAATTTGAACCCAACAAATGGACTGATAAATGGTTATTGGACCGACATCGGGATTGATTATTGGGCCAATTTAATTAATTGGATCATATAAATTAATTTAATTTAATTAGCCCAATTAGATTTGATTTGGGCCATTGGATTAATTAATTAACTGGTCCAAGCCCATTTTATATTTGAATTTGAATTATAAATTATAATTATAATTTAAATATAATATTAATTTTATTAGATTTGAATTAGATAATTATAATTTAATTTGAATTTGAATTAGATTATACAATAATGAACCTGGACTTGATCTTGGGCAAGGTTCATTTTCCTAATTAGTTAATTAATTAATTAGTTAACTAAAAAGGGGAGTTGGTTGAGGAATTTTGGTTAAGCTTTTGGTATAAATAGAGCCTTCATTTCATTCCAAAAGACACTTGAAAGTTTGAAAAACTTGAATGCTTAGAGCTTGAAGGCATTGCACAACTTGAAGACTTAAGGAGTTGAGAGCATTTGAAGAACGCTTGAAGGCTTGGAGGCATCTTTTAAATATTTTGCAGGCAATTTGAATCCATTGCAGGTACTTTGGAGCTTTGCAGAATTGAGTGTCTCGAAGATCTTGAAGTCTTCCGAAGGCATTTGAAGACCTTAAGGCGGCTTGAATCCATTGCATGTGTTTTTGAAATTTTGCAGGATTGATTACTTCTAAGTCCTTGACGCTCGTTGTTGGGAGTCACGCCAATTAAATTCCGGAAGCTACGCCAATTAAATCCCGGAGGCACGCGCCACTTAAATCCCGGAGGCTACGCTACTTGAATCCCGGAGGCACTTCCATAGATAACGTCAGTGAAGAATCAGAGGACTAGACAGAGATTTTGTACCTACATTGAATTATACACACGCTGTACACGGAATTTTGTGAATATATACAAAGTTTACTTTTTGTGTTTACAGATTTTGGCACGCCCAGTGGGACTACTCTGCCTCTCATCTCTTCACTATTGATTCACGAGCTCTACAAGGAAGGAATCCAAATGGCATCAAGAAATCCCTCCTCCAAGATGACCTATGCTCAAGCTACCCGCTCCAAGCCATCATCCGTGGCCGGTTCCGGTGATAGCCAAAATGTGGAAGGAGCAATGACTCGGAGCCGAGTGAGGAACCTAGGGGTGCAACTGAACGAGATCCAGAACATGGTTCATAACATCGTCCGAAGGATTGAAAGCAACTCCACCAAGTCATGGAAAGCTGCATATGACAAGGGTTCATCTTCGACGAGGGAAACTATTGGCAGCAAGAGTATGACTCCCCCAAAAGGAACCCCTAGTAGCGGTAGCTCGTCTCCTACATCTCAATCATCACCTCTGCTGAAAACATCGTCGGAATTGACTCACAGCTACACAGTCATGCCCGTTATGACGACGAACGCAGCTTCAGTGGAGGAACAACTAGCAAACATCACCAAAGCTCTTAAGGGGATAACTACGTTCATGCATAACCAAGAAAGGAGAATCAATGAGCTCAGTCAAAAGGTTGAAAGCGGAAGAAACGACGAAACAAGTCGAGCTTCTGAGAAGCAGCCTCAAACCCAAGAGGATGAGATTGATGTCGAGTCACCGCGTCATGAAAGTAGGCCAGGAATGGAAGAGACAATCTCTCGTCCACCACCCGCTGAGAAGAGTATTCCAATTTCTGAGGGCATGATACCTGTAGATCAGTTGAACGATTACATCATGGGAGCAATTAAAGGGAAGCTCGAGGGAGGACAATCTTCATACACTTACACTAAGCCCTATACTCAAAGGATTGAAGAAATGAAGATGCCGTTGGGCTATCAACCTCCCAAGTTCCAGCAGTTTGATGGAAAAGGCAACCCAAGGCAGCACATCGCCCACTTCATTGAAACCTGTAATGATGCAGGAACATACGGAGATCTCCTCGTCAAGCAATTCGTTCGCTCTCTGAAGGGCACTGCCTTTGATTGGTACACTAACCTGGAGCATGGTTGCATTGATAGCTGGAATGATATGGAGCGCGAGTTCTTGACCCGCTTCTACAGCACAAGAAGGACTGTCAGCTTCTTGGAGCTCACCACTACCCACCAATGGAAGGGTGAGCGTGCGGGCGCTTACATCGAGAGATGGAGGGAGTTGTGCCTTAACTGTAAAGAGAGGATATCACAAAGCTCTGCAATTGAAATGTGCATCCAAGGCATGCACTTTGAGCTCTCTTATATCTTGCAGGGAATCAAGCCTAGAACATTTGAAGAATTATCCAGTCGTGCTCATGACATGGAATTGAGTATTGAAGCCAATGGGGGACTAAACATGTCAAGTATGCCCAACTCATCAAAGGCACCTGCAAACCAAGATGTCAACAAATGGAGTAAGTTCTTTCCAAAGCAAGAGAAGAAAGAGACGATGAACGTGATGACATGACCAATGCGGGTTTTCACCAAAGTGGCTGAGAAGCCCAAGCAAAGATCATTCACTGGCCCATCAAGGGGAGCTAGAAAAACCAATTGTTGAAGAGTGGCGGGAGAAACAATATCCATTCTTGGATTCTGACGTTTCTCCTATGTTTGACGAGTTGCTGAAACTCAAATTAATTGAGTTACCTGAGATGAAGCGCCCCGAAGAAGCTTCTAGGGTGGATGACCTCAACTATTGCAAGTATCATCGTCTCCTCGGACACCCGATTGAAAAATGCTTCGTCTTTAAGGATAAAGTGATGGGACTTGCTCGTGATGGAAAGATAGAGCTTGCGGATGCTAGCGCAAGCACAAACCAAATTTCATGTGGGAGGTTCGCTCCACTACTTATAGAAGATGAGGAGAATAATGGGGGCAAGCAACATAAATGCACACTTCCATTTAGAGTAAAGCATGCTGAGGTGCAGTACTTAAAACCATCACAAGTTGATCCTACTAGTCATATTAGACCATTAAAGAAGATGACAAAGCAATGGGTTGAGAAGAAGTCGGCAAGGGACCCCGTCCATGACTTGAAGAAGAAAGGACGTCCCAGCAAGCCACGGGCACCAGTTACCCTAGCTCGATACATGCCAAAGGTGTTTCGCCTGAGTAGAACAGACATTCTTGGAACTTGCTTGAATACCAATGAAGAACATGTTGAAGTGGGAGAATCTTCATTCCCCTTGATTGAAGGAAGCAACGAGGTCCAAACTCGCAAAGCCGCATCTTACACTACAGAGATAATTTTCAAAGATGAAGATCTATTGCTTGGTGGTGCACCACATAATCGTCCATTGTTTGTTGAAGGTTATGCCCGCGAGCAAAAGATTAAAAGGATTTTGATTGATCAAGGGTCGGCTGTGAACATTCTGTCACTCCGGGCTATGAAGGAACTTGGCATCTCCACCGATGAACTCTCTCAAAGCCGCTTAATGATTCAAGGATTTAATCAAGGCAGACAAAGAACACTGGGTACCATCAGACTCGAC